TGAAATTGCAAAGGCTTCTGTACCCGGCACCTTCCATTAAGCCGCAATGTTTAATGTGACAGGTCAAGAACAACACTGAAAGAAACGTCTTCTGCTGTTACCGAAGGCTGTGTTGCTTTGACTTCAGGATCACCTACAATGTGGTGAGCCCTGAAACCAGTGATTAATATCGCAAATGCGGTAGTCTAGAATCGCTACTCTTCGCAAACGGCATGCTCATCAAGCGCAAAAAACTTGACAAGAAAGGCATCAGCCATATAGCGGCTCGTCAACCGTTGGCTGGGTACAAGTGGTGATGTTGCGATAAATCATGTAGCACCAAACCCATTTCTGCAGAAGGTGAAACGAAAGCGCTCCCCAGCGTGGGCTCCCTGCTAGCTGCTAGTCTTGCTGGTCGTAGGGAATTGGGGAGGGGATCCCAATCCCAAGGGTAGATTTTCATTTCCTTACCCAGTGTTGGGGTTCTTTGTGTCTTTTAGGATGGCTGCTATCAGCAGCATGTTCTTGCATAGGCCGGCGCTGGTGGTGGTGCCACCTGGACTTCTGAGGAACTGGCAGAGCCGCCTGGGCAAACTCTGTGATAACCTGTAGACCTCAGGACTTCCATGTTTTGCATGATGCAAGTCTTCATCGTTTGGGGAGGATTCCCCCATTAAAACATGCGGGCTGACGCACGAACCCTGCAGGCGCTCCCAAGCGGATAAACGATTTTCGTCGGAGCCAAAAAATCAGAGCCCAGGACCCATAACATTTTGAACCCTCATTGTCGGAGTCTCTGAGAACGGAGGCCTCCAAACAGAAAAGGGGCGGCTCGTTACGAAAAGGACAAAGAGAAAGACAAGTACAACAGAGAACGGACATCTGAAAATTCCTCTGAGCGCGGCAGAAGTGCCCTTTGTTTTCGCCACACCCTCTGCACCACACTGCATAAAGCACGGAGCTCCAACTTGTGCCATCTTACGCGCATGCCTTAGAGACTTGATTAGGGACAAGAATGAAACAATAGGAATTTGAAACTTCCCAGCTTGGTGCGAGCCTCCGGCTTCCACGCTCATCGAGGAGTAGGTCTTCTTCCTCTGGGGTGGAGGATGCGTCTACACTCAGGGCAGGGTGCTTTTTGCGAGTGAGATCTACTTATGATGATAGAGCTGACAGGGACTATCATGACAGAAATTCAGCCTAGGTCCCTTACCATCAATCTAGGTTGTCGGCATCCTTGCCGCGGAGCTCCTACTGTAGAAGCTGATCCAACGTCATGTCTCAATCAACTGGATCATAGAACTTGAGTGATGCGGTCGGGCCTTGAGGTAGGCCAACATAGCGATGCACTGCAGGGTTTTCCCCAGTCCTGTTCTGATGCGATTTCACAGCACATGTTACCCTCTTCGTTGAAGATGCTTAGACAAGGCACAGAGAACACTTGAAACTGCACGTTCCTCACCTAAATCCAGAAAACCTTACCTTGCTGTTGCGCAGGCGTTATCAGTCTCAACTGCCACTCAGAAAAATTTGGAAGATGACTCCTGGCGGGTGCCCTATGACTACAGGAGGAACTACGCTCAAATTAGTAGCAGTTTCGTAGCTGGGTCTTTTCTGAGCGCCATATCAGGCTTATGCAAGGTCTCCGCTTTGGTAGTTGGCTGCCCCGCCCCTACCAAACAAAACAGTTCCCAGAGGCACACACTGTGTAAATCCCTTAGGCGACCTTAAGCCACTGGCTTCGGTTTCTACGCCACTCAGGATTCTTCACGGTCCCATGTCATCCGCCAACACCGCTCCGAGACCGCTTCGTGCCAGTGTTGCCAACCAGCGAAATCCGATGAGCTGGTACCTCGGTGACTGAAAAAGGAGCCAACGTGACCAAAGCACCTTGTGTGAAGGTGTTCACATAGAGACAAAGAGGTGTAGAGCGTTTACATGGGACTTTATTCAGAGCAAGCTGCATATGTTTGCTTCTCCTTGCCAGGCCTTTTGTCGAAGGCT